GCTGAATCCATTGCAGTAATGCTGCCTGGCCCTGCTGCTCTGGGATCTGTGGGCGTGCAGTCTCGGAGGTCCCTTCCAAGTGGAGGCAGGCAGGGAGCTGACTTCTCGGGCGTTCCCCCCGACCCCGTGTTTCCTGTCCCCCTCGTGCTCTGTAAGGCCTGCCCAGGGCCTCGCTTCCGCAGTTTCTGTCTCTGCTTTCCTGAGCCGAGCAGGCCCACTGCATGCTCGTCCCACAGGAGCCTCTGCTGCTGCCCCTGCTGGCCTGCTGTCCACGCTCCCTTGTCCTTCTTTTCCTCACAAGGACACGACTCCTGAGTCCTAGGGGAACCCCTGCGTGTCGTCTCACCCTTTTTTTGCTGTGTGCTTTTACAGTGGCATGTGCACATGCACACATGCAAGAGAGCCAGAGGCACAGCCTTGGCAGGATCTGGTCATGCCACATTCCCTCCCACAGCCCTCCAGTCCCCTGGATCCTGAGCACTTTCACGTGCACTTGATGTGTCTTTAAGTCAACCCCAGCTCCAGCTTAGGGATCCCGGGCTGCAGCCAGCTGGCGGCTCCTGGCTCACAGGGCACTAGGTGTGAGCATGCACCACAGACCTCCCTGGCGTTCCTCTGCCTGTGCCAGCTCTGATTCCTGTCCCCTTACCACCTCTCAGCGAGCTCTGCCCTCGGGCACGGAGAATGATGGGCAGGTAGTTCCCACGCCCCCTCTGCCTCTTCCGCCCGCCCAGCGTGTCTTTGCTCTGCTCCAGGGCCGCCCCCTGCCTTCCTGGGGAGGGAGAGGCAGCCCTGCTCAGGCCAGTAGGCTCAGGTCAGGGAGGTGCAGCGGGCCACCCTGCCCCTAGCCCTGTAGCCTTTCTGGTAACTGGCTCCTGGCCGGGGGCTGTAGCCACCGGAAGAAGAGAATGCGACAGCTGCAGAAGAAGATCCGGAGCGGGACGCTGAACGTCAACCAGGACGACCCCTTTGAGCTGTTCGGGGCTGCCACAGACATCCGCTACTGCTACTACAGTGAGACCCACAAGGTCCTGGGCAACACCTTCGGCATGTGTGTCCTGCAGGTAGGGCCGCCTCCGGCTGCAAGTGGCCTTGTGGTGCGTGTGTGTCCATGTGTCCCGGTGAGCTACAGTGGGAGGTGTGCTGTTGGTTTGTGCTGAGGCTCTGGCCCTTGGGAGCATTATGGGGTGCTGTTTACGCGACCAGCCCTTCCTGAGGTCTCCTCTTCTAGGATTTCGAAGCCTTGACCCCGAACCTGCTGGCCCGGACGGTGGAAACGGTGGCAGGCGGTGGGCTTGTTGTCATCCTGCTGCGGACGGTGCACTCGCTCAAACAGCTGTACACGCTGACCATGGTGAGGCCACGGTCCCCGATGTGGGCCCGGTGCGCTGCCTGCTCTCAACGTCTGTCTCCTGGTGGGAGTGCCTGGCCCCTGGCCTGGTGCCCCGACTGCCGCTGCAGGGCCGCCGTGCCTGCGTCTGCACTGCACACTGGCTGGGCGTCCCCAAGGCTGTCACCAGGAAGGTGCACAGACAGGGAGCTTTAGGGAGTTACATTTCTGGAGTGGGGTCCTGCCAAGGGCCAGCTGGGCCATTCCCAAAGCCGACACCAGTAAGGTGCACGGACAGGGAGCTTTAGGGAGTTCGATTTCTGGAGTGCGGCCTTGCCAAGAACCAGGCCTGTGCCTAGACTTGAGTGTTGCAAAAACAGGACCATGGCAAGCCAGCAGGTTGTGCAGTGGTTAAGGCACTGGATTTCCACATGGCCAGCTGTGGTTTGAGTCCCGGACCCCGCTTGAAACTCACTCTGGATGCGTGCATGCGTGCCCAAAAATCCAGAGAGGAGAATGGAGGAGAAGGGATTGCGGCGTGGCTGTACCCCTGGGGGTGATTTCTCGCTTTCTGTCTCTCATGTAGCAAAATCTCTAGACAAAAGGCTGTTGCGGACTTTGCCAACCCTTAGCTAGACGGGTGACAGTGGCATTTGTTCGTTCTCTTGCTGGTTTGGCGACAAGTTTGACTTGAGAGATTTGTTTTTTTTCCTCAAGGCGAGAGACTTTTCCCCCTGCGTTGTTTGTGCACTTCCTGGAGAATGACAGGGAGAGGGCAAGAGAGAAGTTACCCCCTCCCCCCCTCCCGGAGGAATGGCCACACTGCATGCCTCCCTTCTCCATTCTTCCCTGGGGATTTTGGGCACGAACGCACATGTGCCTCGTGTGTTTCTCAAGTCCCTGGGTCTGAGGCTTAATCCACATAGCTGGCCCTGTGGGTTCCCAGCTGCCTGCCTGCCTGCCTGCAAAAAGCGTTTGGTGGACACAGGTAGTCCAGCCTCCGCGGCCTTGTCCCCGTGGTGTTGCAGGCAGGCGGGAAGCGCGCTCACAGCCCAGCGACTCAGAGCTGGTGCCAGAACTGGCCACAGGACCGTTCCACCTGGTGGAACAGCTTTCTCTCAAGTCTTGGGGCTGCTTCCTGCCACTTCCACCTCTCCGTCTGTGCCACCTAAGACTGCCCGACACCCCTGGGGCCTTCACACTTGTCCCCAAGTGTGTCCCAGGTGTGGACCTACACCCTGCCTGCACACTGTGCTCGGGTCCCCAGCCCTCCGCCTGGTCGGCGCAGTCTCCCCCATGGCCTGTTTAGGCAGGTGGCCTGCGGATCCCTTCCCTGCCGATCCCCTGCAGCACCAGCCGCCCCTGGAGGTGGGGTCTCTGCCACGCTCTCCCCATGAGATCTCTGAGCTCTGGGAATGGACTTGTTCTCTGTGCTTGGGTTTCCTGAGCCTGAATGTGGGCCGGGCCTCAGTCAGCATCCAGGGGCTGCAGAAGACGGGAGGGAAGACCTGGTGCCACGTCTGGGCCCTGCACTTACAGGTCAGCTCAGCATCTTGGGAGGCCTGTTCTTGCTATGCCCGTTTGTCATGGCCGCGCCCTGCCTTTGCTGTGTAGCCCTGCAGCGTTGTCCCCATTGTCCCGCTATGCCCGTTTGTTGTGGCCATGCCCTGCCTTTGCTGCGTAGCCCTGCAGCGTTGTCCCCATTGTCCCGCTCCAGGCTCTGCAGGGACAGGCAGTGTGTTGCTCACTGCCGTGCACCCCCACACCAGCCACACCGGTGTGCCCTTCCTGGAGTGCATGCTCACACCTTGGGGTGCTAGACGGGGTGGGGCGATGAAAGGGGGATAGCCCCGTGGCCTAGGGCTAAGAGAGCTGGAGCCCACATGGCCAGCTATGGTTTGAATCCTGACCCTGGCAGCTTGAAAAACTCACTGGGTGCATGTGCTTGTGTGCCCCAAGTCCTGACAGGGAGGGGAGGAGAAGGCATTGCAGCGCAGCCCCACCCCTTGGGGATGCTTTCTCGCCTCTCGGTCCCTCTTACCTGTGGTCTCTGGCAGTTCTTTAAAAAGTGAGCAGAGGTGAGACGAGGCCAGGGAAGTTGGCTGGAGCGACACGCAAGGCCTTGGTGTACATCCCCACGGCAGCAGGTCGTGCCGTGCCGCTTCGGCACTGCGGGCCGTGTGGGAGCGGGCCGTTTGCAGCAGGACCCCCTGTCCCCTGGGCAGACGCGGTCTGGGTGTTAACGGGGTGCCCCCCGTTGCAGGACGTGCACTCCAGGTACAGGACCGAGGCGCATCAGGACGTGGTGGGCAGGTTTAACGAGAGGTAGGTCTGCAACTTGGCGGTCCCTGTGGTTCTTGGGAGCGAGCGAGGTGTGGGCCTGGCCAAAGGCTTTCCTTCTATGGCTGTGATGCGGGGTAGCAGCGCCAGGGCGGCCTCGTGGCTCGCCCTTCACAGGTGTGACCTTCAGAGCAGTTCCCAAAGGTGGGGCACAGGGAGCTGGTCTTCGGGAGAGACCCTGTGGCCTGAGCGCTTCCCCTGTCAGTTTTGTCATGGCGCGTCTGTGGGGACACTGGTTAGCAGCCTGGAAGCACTGGAGACCACGCCGGCCCAGGCTGCCGTCCTCCGTGGTGTCATTTTGACACTTTTGGCAGTGCTCGGAGGCGTGCTGAGGGCTGTGACGTGGGGCGGGTGGGGCGCGGCAGGCAGTGAGAGGGTCATGGTGCCGCGTTTGTGTTGCGGAGCGGGAACCCTGGCTGTCTCCGTCGAGGGAGCAGGCAGGGGGAGTGGCTGTGTGCTGGCAGTAGAGCCTAGAACCCTCGTGTGGCGGGATGAGTACGCGGTTTCTGGCGGGGGCATTCGCGCTCTGTTTCCTTGTGGCAGGTCTGTTTGTGCTGTGTTGTGTGGGGCACCACGAGGCTGAGGCTAACACCTGGGGGTGGGCGTTGGGCTGCGTGC